GCTTTAGGAAAGGGGAATTAAGATTCTGGGGCAGAACCTATCTCCCCAAGCCCCTTGTTAGTGACTGAGTCAACCCCCCTCACCTACTCCATCCCCATTTTATTCGTACTAATCTCTCCCACTGCTTCCTCCTTGTTGCTGTTTTAGGCCACCCCAGCTCAGCCAATGATCCCCTTCCCTCTGAATGTCCCTCTGAATGTCAGGGGTTTTTTTGTTTTTAAAAGTCACCTGCTTAGTTGATGTCGTATGTGTATTTGGTGGGGAAAACCTATCTTTGAAGATTCCTGTGGTAGGTAATAGGGGCTGTTCTTCTCACTTCCCTGGGCAGTATCATTGGACTCCGAGAAGGCACAGAAAGGGGACCTATATAAAAGGATAGGAATTTTAAAAACCTAAAATTTACAAAAAGCACTTAAGCACCTCCTTATGACTCAGTGGGTCACCCCCTAGCTTCTTCCTTTTCCCACTCAGACTATCAGAACTTCAGCTGATAGCTAGGGGTTCCCCAGATGAGGTCAAAGGGATTTGGGAGCAGCAGAGAAGGGGGCCCAACTTCAGGTGGTACCGACCTGCAGCTCACAGCTTGGCTCTGCTCCCTGGATTCATGCGTCCCAGTTCTAGCTCCTCCCTTCCTCATCCTTGATGTGAAAGCAGATGTGATTCCAGGCTCTACACCAATTCTTGGTCTCTCCTACCAGGCCCCCTTGTTCCTCATGTCCCCGTGTTTCTCTTCCTCTGCGTCTTGGCACCTTTCTTCTGTTCAAAGTTTTCTGTAAATTTTCTCTTTTTTTTTTTTTTTTTTTTTTATAAATTAATTTGCTTTCAGTTCCATCTTGTGGATGCCTTCTGTGTTCTCTTACTTGTGGCTGTCAGGCAGTGAGGCTAGGATAGCAGGGGCATTTACCTGGACTGGAGAGGCAGGCACTCTGTAGGCCTAGGCACTGTGCTTCACCACAAAAGGCCAAAGACAACACAGCTGTCAGGACTGTGCTAATATAGGAGCTGAAGCTCTACCTGCCTTAAAAATAGCTAACACTTGGAAGAACATTCCTACAACATGGAGATTTTGTACCTTTATCCTTTCAAAAGTAGTGGCTTCACTCCTTCCCTTTATTAGGGAGGTGGCAGGCCTCTCACCTACTTCTGTTATTATTGGCCCCTAGCCCTGTGAAGGTGATGGACAGACTCAGGCAGCACTAATATGGCCTGGCTTTAGCTCCAATAAACACTCTCCAAGCCTCCCCACAAAAGGCCTTATTAAGTGCTTGGGACAGTAGGGGCTAGTTTAAGGAGCTAGAGGGCTAAGAAAAGACTCAGCCTGATATGGGCTGGAATAAGGATGCCAGCCTTGATCCTATAGGAATTTATAGCCTTTTTAATCCCCCAAGGGGTAGCTTTTGTAGCATGAATGAATGGGGCATGCTACTATAGGCATCTCCCCAGCTTTCCTCAGCCTTGGACTCTGCCTCAGGGCAGCAATCTTCAACCATCTCACCTTCTTCCCCTTTACCCTGGCTCAGGAAGGAAAGTCGAACCAAATTAGGGGCACAGAAAGCAAGTTTATTTGGTGAATGCTGATGGCAAACATCGTCCCAAAGGGACAAGATGGGAAAAGTGCTGTGACCAGAGAGCCTAGGACACCTTCAGACTAGATACAGTCTCACACAGGGAAAGGCACGGGTTCTGGGGTTACTGGGAGTGTCCTCAGCCATTCAGCACCATACGGACGAGCTCTGTGGAAAGGAAAGGAAAAGTGGGGTGAACTTGGGAGCAGGGCTGAGGAGGGGTACACCAGGGGCCAGGAGACTGCAAGACTGCAAAGGTAGCATAAGAGAAGACATGCCCATAGCAACCAACCTTGGGGTCAGTTTGCAGAGGAGCCACCTTGAGTCTGACCAGTTCTCCCTGCCCCTAGATCCCCTCCCACCACTGTTAATCCCCCCACCCCACCCTGAGCAGCAAGAACACAGCAGAGGCAGAAAAGTTCTCAACTACACCTATAGCTACTGTCAGCCACTGGCAGGAGGAGAGGGCAGAGTTTTGGGTTAGGGTACCTCCAAGCTGCCCAGCAGAGGGAAGGGGGAAAGGACTATTTAGCTATAGCAGCAGAATGGGGCAGGCAACCCATCCCCCCCATGCCAGCTACCCATGCTCCAGGGCCAAAGGATCACCCTAAAGTAAGACTGGTATGTAGGCTGGTGACAGTTCCCAGACACCAGCAACCAGGCCCAATAAGCAAAACCAAGTAGGGAGGTACCATACCCCTAGGCTGTCTTCCTCTTTGAGGAATCCCTCCCCTCCCTAATCAGCTCCATGCAGAAACATGCCAGAAGGAAGTTAGATGGTAGTAGGGTCAGGGCAAGGGCTAGAAAGCACAGGTTGGGGAAAAAAAGGAACACTAGGGAGATCAACTAGAGGAGAGGCTGGGAGGAGCCGTACCCGCCCCACGGGGCCCGTCACCCCGACAGGATATGCCTCACAAATGCTGCAGGAAGGAAGAGACATTAATGGTGAAGACAAGACACAGACATGGGGTGAAGGGGTCAGGCGGTGGGGAAACAGACATTCCATTCCATTTATTTTACTTTCCATGCCTTCCCCACTTTTCACACAACATCGCCCCTCCCTTTCCTATCTTACCCAACTGACCTCCCACTCCTGAGCTGGGCGGGGCCCTGCCCCTTGCCTCCTGGCTCCTTTTGGAGCCCAAGTCCAGGGATAGGGAAAGCCCCAAATGCTATACTTGACCCGCCACATATAGTTGCCTCCTCTGAGAAAGCCCCAATTCACCCCTCACCTTCATAGTTGATACAACCATTGCTGTCCTCATGCCCTGCCACCAACATCTCGACTTCTTCCTCTGTCATCTTCTCACCTACAGAGGCAAAGCATTTTTAGAATTGGGTGACAGGTAAGGTGTATCAAGGTAGCTCCTCAGCTCAAGGACAAGGGCACAGAGCCTTACCCAGTGTGACAAGGACATGCCGGATTTCAGCGCCCATGACAGTGCCATTCCCTTCCTTGTCAAACACCCGAAGGCCTTCGACATAATCCTCATAGGTCCCTTGGTCCTTGTTCTTGGCCACAGTCTGCAGCATGGGCAGAAAGTGCTCAAAGTCCAGCACCTTCACATTCATCTCTGCCATAAAAGGAGGTAGAAGTGTCAGGCCAGAGAAGTCACCCAAATTCTCAAGATGGGCCAATGGGGATCTCAACCGAACAGGTGACTCCTGCACTAAGCAGGGAAATAATGGGATTTGCTAATCAAGACATGACTTGCTCAAGTTTGGGGCCTACAGAGATAAAGGGAAGCTCCGAGCTTGAAGAACTGTGGACCCACTACCACACGAATTGTTCTTGAGGCCCCTCACCGTCACTCTTGGGGTTCCCCAGGACCTTGAGCACCTCGGCGTTGGTGGGGTTCTGGCCCAGGGCCCTCATCACATCCCCACACTGGCTGTACAGGATCTTGCCATCACCTGTGCGGTCAAACAGCTGGAAGGCCTCCTTGAATTCTGAGGATTCAGATGAACATCAGCACTGGGGATGTAGGGGGTAACACAAACCCTACCTCAGAGCTCTGCCACCCATTCAACTTTGATCATGCTGAGGAAACCAGATATCTGTACCACACTGTATACCCAAGTCTTCTAAGAGGGATCCATTTCTCTTACTCCCAACTCAGGTGTCCCACATAAAGATAGAGCCTTCTTCTACACCCCCCTTGGCTGCATGGTTAACATTCATTTACACACCCCCTCTGCCTGCAGCTGGTCTGCCCAACCTCTGCACTACCTCACCACTCAGGGCAGGAATTTGCCACCGCCCAGTCTGAGTCCTGTCCTTATAAGGAAGTGGGAGCAGCACTGAGACTGGGGTCATCCCAGCTTGCCACTTCCCATCTCTCCAGTATAGCGACCTTCCACAGGGTAAAGTCCTATCCTTAGCAAACTCTCCTGTCCCCATATTCACAAAATATCAGGTTCTGTTCTTTACAATCCTCACAATTTCAAGCTGGGGAGGGGAAGAGTTATCACAGGAGGCGAGAAGAAGCAGAAGTAGCTGATTAAGGGGAAGAGGTGCACAGGCAGCTTAACAAACACTCCCCAAACCCTACACACAGCAAGCATTAGGTGATCAAGTTGTTTCACATACCCACACCACCTAAAACTCACCCAGTGCTTGGGGCTCAGATCTAGAGTGGAAGGGGAGGTAGGAAGAAAAAGAAAAGAAAATGGAGGATCCAGAAGGAGGGAAGAGGGAATCCGGGGGTACTCTCATGGGGGTGCTAAAGAGATGGAGGGTGAGAGGGTAGCTGGTGAATGGGGTGTCCCTTTCCTTAAGGGTAACCTCAATGGGGGTTAGAAACTACCTACCTGCAGTCTGGTCCTCGGTGAAGTCACACTGCTCAGGGAAGAGAGTAGTGGTCAGCATCTGAACTCCAATCCCCCAAGCTTCTATCCCAGTCCCACAAACTGAACCATAAACTCCTGCTCTAGGCTAGGGACTCGCTTCGCAGCAGGACAGGGCCCCAGAATCTCCAACCCCACCTCCAACCTTCCAAGCCCTCAAGTTCCTTTTCTCCCAGCCCTCCGTTGCCCTTGCCAGCACCCGTGCCTTCCCGCCTCTCGACCCAAATCCCGCTCATCTCCCAGGTCGCAAGCCCCACCATCTTGACTCTTCAGCTCTCTGGGACCTTTTCCTGCAGTAATGGCTCCGACTCCAGGCCCAACCCTAGTCTTAGTACGTCCCAATGACGTCACCCTCAGCTGATTCAGCCAATAGGAGCCCTGGGCTGGCTTGACGCAAATGGTTGCTACATTAGTAGCGAGGTGGGCGGGGCCCGCTGTGGTTCCTTTCTCCGGAATAGCCCCACCTGGGCGCAGAAACCTCACAGCGGGAGGCAGTGGGGGTGGAGCGCAATGAATCCGCTCCCCTAACAAGGGAAAGATCAAAGGAGCCTCCCTCCCAGCGACCCCTAAAGAAAACAGCAGTCTGAGACCAAGGGAGGAACCATCTTTATTTTGAAACAATAGGTGGCCTCCTAGTGGCTGGAACGTGCTTCTGCCTGCAGGGGCCGGGTAACCGACCCCACTGGATCTGTGGAAAAAAACAAAAGTTGCCAAGCCTTGGCGCTCGCACAGCAACCCAACAGGAAAATGCACTCCCCCGCTTTTCTCCGTTGGCTGAGGCTAGGGAAGGAGACTTGCCTCTCAAGATGGGGTGAGGGGGTGGGAGGGCCCTACCTGTAGAGCTCAGACGCTTAGGATGTGCTTCAGGAAGGCTGCAGAGAGAGTAGGTAAGAAGGGCTTCAGAGGCGGGCCTTTGGATAACCACATCTGACCAGGTAATGATAATCCAGGGTGCCCCAGCCCCCACAAGGCGCGATGCTGGCTCCCCTCCTCCCTAGCCCCTTTCCTCCTCCTGTCCCCTCACCCTCATAGTTGATGCAGCCATTGCTGTCCTCATGTCCTGCCAGAACAGTCTCCACCTCCTCCTCAGTCATCTTCTCTCCTGAACCCCAAACACAGCGTTTGACCTCTGCCTTCCCTCCCTCATCCACCCAAGGGCCATGCTCTTCAGGGTGGTACCTCCTCTTTTCCCATCCTGGAGACTTCCCATAGCCACAGCCCCCAAGGGAATCCTCCCCGGTAATGGATGCCTCTTGCTTTTTCGTTTTGTCTTGGTACCAGAGAACACTTTAACAGTCAAGGAAACTGAATCCCACAGGGTTAAGAGACTTGTACCAGATCACAGAATACAAGCATCTTATTCCAAAACAAAAACTCAGGTCACCCACCTCATCCCCTTTCTTCTGTCCTTTAGGAGGCACTTTAGCCTGCTCTGGCCTTGCTCTGGAGGAGCAAGTCCTTCAAGCTTCTGCTCCCATGGCTGGGCCCTTCTCAGTCTCCTGCCCATGGCTGGGCCCTTCTCAGTCTCCTGCCCATGACCTGCAGGACAGTAATTCCCTCCCTGGCCAACCTCCTTCCTAGTCCACCTGCCCCCCCCACCTCTCCACCCCAAAGGAGTTCTGCTCCCTGCCTCACCCAGGGTGGTGAGAACGTGTCTGAGCTCTGCTCCCATGACTTTGCCGTTCCCCTCCTTATCAAATACACGAAGTCCCTCCAAGTAGTCTTCATATGTGCCTTGGTCCCGGTTCTTGGCCACTGCCTGGAGCATGGGCAGGAAAGTCTCAAAGTCTACACGCTTGGACTTCAGCTCTAGAAGTTAAAGAGGTGAGGGAGAAGTCACTGTGGTATCACCTAGGACCCAGTTTCCACCCCTACCACAACAGCATTCATCCTGTTAAGCATTCTGAATGTTTTTCTGCCCCTGTGTTTGACAGTTTTTGAAGTCCCGAGATCCACACTAGCATCCTTTGTCACCTTACCAACATCTCCCCATTGAAAACTGAAACCTTTACAGATTCCAAAGGGTATCCAAAAAAAAAAAAAGAAAACTGAAACCTGCATTGTTCCAAGGGTCCTCTCACCGTCACTCTTGGGGTTCCCCAGGACCTTGAGCACCTCAGCGTTGGTGGGGTTCTGGCCCAGGGCCCTCATCACGTCCCCACACTGGCTGTACAGGATCTTGCCATCCCCTACTCGGTCAAACAACTCAAAGGCCTCTTTGAACTCTGAGGTATAAGAAGAGGTCATTGTTGACAAGGGGTTCCCACCTCCCCCTGACAGAAGGAAGGTTCAGAAACTATGTGCTACAGTTGGGCAGATAAGGGAGGAAAAGAGGGCTAGTGTGGAAGTTTCAAGGACAGGAAATGGGGTTAGGGGAATAGAAAGGATCTGACTGGGACTTGGGACTGGACAGTGGGCTTAGGGGACCAGCTTCTCCTCACCCTCCAGCTGGTCCTTGTTAAACTCGATCTGTGGAAGAAGAAGAGCAGGTGGGGAGAGATGACAGAGCTTATTCAATCCCTCTCCAGCACTCCTCCCAAACCAACTGGCAGCCACTTCTGGGGAGGGGCTCAGAAGGACCCGGCTGGGAGCCCAGCCACCTCAGAGTCCCATTCCCAGCTCTGGGCTTTGGGAGAATCCCAAGAGGAGGAATTATAGTGGGGGAGGGTTTCCTGGGAACAGGGTTAATCCCATGCCACCTGTTCCCCCCCTCCACTGCCCTGAGCCCTGCATCCCTCACATAACTGGGGGCTGAACAAAGGCTAAATTTACCCCTGGCCCCCAGCTGTGATTGTCTAACAAGTCTGTCCTCTTCAGCCTCCCCTCCTGGGGTTCAGGGCTTCAGCCTTGTGAGTGGAACCACCAGCCAGGGCAGGCAGCAGCTCTTCCCTTCACCTTGAAACTGTCCTCAGAACCCAGGTGTTCCCCATCTCAGAGTCCCTGCCTCTAGCAGGGGGTGTGTAAGCGCATATACATAAGTATTAGAGGGAGAGGAACAGCAGAGACAACAACAGCCCCCCATAAGTCTGGATGTCTCCAAATGGGGGACTAAGGGGAACCCCCAATCCCATTCCAGTGCTCATTTATTCTCTACCTTCTAGATACTCCCTAATCCCGTAGGCTGTACACCATTAACCCCCCACCCCCAAATTCTATCTTCACTTTCCGCGACTCACCACAACTTTGGAGAGATCGATAGGGGGCTCCTTGGTTTTCTCAGGGGCCTGGGGAACAGCTGGCTCAGCCTTGGTCTTCACTGGAGGAGCCCCTGCTGCTGGCTTGGCAGCAGGCTTAGAGATGGAGGGCCCTGCTGGTTTCTTCATAGGAACATCCTTCTTGGGAGGCATGATGTCCGGTGGCCAAAGGACAGTGTGCCGATGGGGGCACCCATCTGTTTAAATAGCCAGGGAGCCTGGGATGTCAAGGGGCGGGGGCAGGGGCAGGGAGCCAGTTGGCAGTGGTGAGGATGAGGTAGAGGAGAGATATGCCCGCCTGCCCTCACTCCCCTGGCTTCCTATGGCTCAGGACTCCTGCCCCAAGGTTTTCTTCCCTCTGTCCACTCCTCCCCAAAGGGTGGCCTGAACAATGTTCCCTCTGGAGGCAGGAGGAGGAAGCCAGAGACTGCTCAGAATGGAGGAGTTAACCTCCGGGGTGAGGATAGGATGCTTGCCAGTGACACTGAGATAGGAGTGAGGCAAAGGAGGGGATCCAACAGCTTTAGGTTCTAGAAGGGCCAGGAAGAGGTGAGGGGTTTAGGGAGGCTTGTGTGAACTGGGATAAGTTAAAGTGGAGTCTGGGAACTGTGAAAGGTAAAACAACAACAACAACAAAAAACCAAGCAGCTCATCCATCCAATCCCTCCACTACCCTTCGACTCTGGGTGAGGTCAACCCACAGTCTACTAATCCCCAATACCTGTAGTCCCTAGGCCCCCACCCAGCTCAGAACTGGAACTGTGCACAGTATAAAGAGCAGTAATAGAAAGGTGAGTGTGACATTCCCTGTTGTCTCCTGTACTCAGTGTTGTTTAGGGGTGGGAGCAAGGGGAAGGATGGGGTTTAACGTCCACTATCCATGTTTCCAAGGAGGAACTTTTTTCCACAAGCCCATGGTCATTCAAGTCAAACAAAAGGTAAGGCTCTTGCTGAACCTTCAGGGACCCTGTGTGGTGGCATCTGGTGGGGGAAGAGCCAGCTCTGGTAGACAAAGGGCCTAAATTCTCTAATCTGAAAAGATGTGGGGGCTTCTATGGCCTCCATGACTACTCACCCACCAACCAGGGGTACAATAAAAACCCTGACTAAGGTGCCAGGTCACAAACCTTGCTAAGGGAGTTGGAGAAGGCTCCAATTGAGGGGGGGGGGAGGCATTTGGGAGTGCAGAGGGGGTTGCTGGCTACTTTTGTTCTGGGGGGAAAGAAAGGGAATATTTAGGTAGCATTATGAGGAAGATAGCAATGATTCCACTAAGGCTCTGGGGTTCAGAGAGTTGATGCTAGGTCTCCCGTTCGCAAAAAAAGCGTCTGAATCTCATTACTGCAAATTGTCCCATTTTGGGAAAATCAGGAATCATTGCTCCCGCGGGGAATATCTCTCTCTCTCCTCTCTCTCTCCTCTCTCTCTCCCTCTCTCCCTCTCTCTCTCACACACACACACACACACACACACATTTTTCTCTCTCTCTCTCTCTCAATCTTACAGAAAAGCGGTCCTCCTCAGCCTCCAAAAACTCACCCTGCAGGGTCCGGGGCGGGGGCGGGTCGCAGCCCCCTGCCTCGAATGGTTAAATCTGGCGGCCGCGGAGCACGCCGGGAGTCGTAGTCCCCGCGCGCCCGCGGGCTCACGGGAAACGCCGCTCTCCAGCGCGAAGCCGGCGCTGGGCGGGGACATCCGGCCGCCCGCAGTGGTTGGTGACTCAGGCTCTTTCCAGTGTCGTGTTTGTCCCGGAACTGAAAGGCCATGAGCGATTTACAATCCACCTTAACCCCAAACCCCTGTGGGGCCCTCCTAGATTTCCCTTTTAGGCCTGGTGAGCTTCTCGTTTAGTGGGGAGTGGGGATGTTCTCCTGTATCTACTGGGCAGAGAACCCAGAACCAGAGGAAATGCTGAAGCCGGGGTAGGTAGCACGGAGGTCAGACAGCTGGAAGCACTTACTGCGCGAGGAGAGCTGCTGCGGACTCTTGCTTGCTCTCGCCGTTCGGTAGAAAGAAAATAGACCATTGTTACTTAGTGTGTGGCTTGGAGCAGTAACTTCCAACGTTTTTGACTTTTTGAAATGAGCTGCTCGCTAAGGTATGAGAATGAACCAAGTAGTAGGGGGAAAAAAAGAGGGGGGGTGCTCACTAAAGTAAAATAGTAAGATTTGCAATTAAGCCCAGTCACCTGCCCCAGTGTCTTCAGGTTGAGGCTGGTGCATCTTGCGGCCGCATATGCGCCTTCTTTCCCGGGCTTTATAGGTCCTGGAACGGAGAGCAGGGCTTTCAGCTCTTCATGCAGAGACACCTGTGCCCAGGTTTGGTGTTCATTCATTCCTGCAGGCCTTTATCAAAGATCTCTGTGCTGGAAGAGAACCAGCCCGGCCGGGCCCACCTTCACCGACTAGATCAGTAAATGCCTTGCCGGTGCACCTCGTGTTAGAGGCTTGGGCTACACGGATGTATGTGCAAGGATAGAGTAGAAAACCTGCGCGAGGTCAGGATGGTGAGGCATAAGTGAACTCTGTGGACTGTAAGTGACGTTCGCTGGTTTGGAAAAGCTTTTCACAACAGTAGAAATGAATTGTACAACAGAAATAACGGCGTTAGTGAAGTTAGCAACTATTCCTAGAGGTTGCCACAAATCAGGTACTGATGAAGGGGCTAAATTCTCTCAAAGGGGCAGCACATGGAATGCTAAAGAATATGGGGCTCAGACCAGCTTGCTCAGACTTGAATCCTGGTTCTGCCAACTACTGGCTGGCAACCTCCAGCATGTTTAGTTGTCTCTGGGCCTCAGTTACCCCATCTGTAAAATAAAGATAATAGTACCTATCTCATAGAGGTGTTGGGAGGATTAGATGTGATAATATTTGTAAAATAGAATAGGCCTGGCTCTGTGTAAATGCTACTTAAGTGTTTGTTAAATAAATTTCTTTTAATATTCCCAACATATGAGGTTGGTGGTATTTTCCTCACTTTATGTCCATAAAGGATCATGGTGAAGATGTGAAGAGATGGAGAGGAAGAAGGAAAACATTTCTTACAAGTGTTTGGTTATGAGACGGGAAGGACCATATCACAGATGCCTTTTTCTGTCTGTCATCACTTTTACAGAAGTTTATTTCAAAAATGTGGTCGTAGTTTTTTTGTTTTGTTTTTGTCTTTTTCCCCCATCTAGAGCCCATTTTTGGCACTTTGCCAAGTCTGAGTGGTTATGGCATCAACTGACTTTCTAGCATTTTCTTCTCTATACAAGGAAAAAAGATGAAAACCTTTGGCAAATACAAATACCTTAGGAGGACTATCCATTTTCTGTGCCATACCTGTTTGTTTTTTTGTTTGTTTGTTTGTTTGTTTTGAGACAGAGTCTCACTCTGTTGCTTGGGCTACAGTGCCATGGCGTCAGCCTAGCTCACAGCAACCTCAAACTCCTGGGCTCAAGCTATCCTCTTGCCTCAGCCTCCTGAGTAGCTGAGCCTATAGGTGCATGTGATCATGCCTGGCTCATTATTATTATTAATTTTTTCTATTTTTTAGTAGAGATGGGGTCTCTTGCTCAGGCTGGTCTCGAACTCCTGTGATCCTCCCACCCCAGCCTCCCAGAGTACTAGGATTACAGGTGTGAGCCACCACCATACCAAGCCTCCATCACTGTCTTTTAATCATAAATAAGATAAACTTGATTGAACATGATCTTAACTGGGCATATGTGATTTTTACATCATGTATGTAGATTATCTGGGAGAAAAGCCTGTCCTCTCTCCCTTCCCTACCTGGCATGTAACTTGTATGTTCTTACAGAGTGTACATTCTAATATTAATTTGAACATAAAATAATTAGGAAGGGTGCATCTCTAAAGGAAAAAGAAATAATAAAACCTAGCTGAACAATTTTTTGAATTAACATGGCTCTTCAGTAACTTGAATAATTGTGGGTTCACCTTGTATAGCTTAAATGGGTCTTTAAACACTAGCTAATTATGTGTTAAGATGGAGAATAGCGGCCAGGTGGGGTGGCTCATGCTTGTAATCCTAGCACTCTGGGAGGCTGAGGCAGGCGGATTGCTCGAGGTCAGGAGTTCAAAACCAGCCTGAGCAAGAGACTCCATCTCTACTATAATAGAAAGAAATTTATTGGCCAACTAATATATATAGAAAAAATTAGCCAGGCATGGTGGCGCATGCCTGTGGTCCTAGCTACTCGGAAGGCTGAGGCAACAGGATTGCTTGAGCCCAGGAGTTTTAGGTTGCTGTGAGCTAGGCTGACGCCACAGTGCTCACTCTAGCCTGGGCAACAGTGAGACTCTGTCTCAAAAAAAAAAAAAAAAAGATGGAGAATAGCTTAGGTAGTGAGAGCACTTTCCTGAGTAAATGGGAAAGAATTAGGAAAGATGTCAGTCATCTGGCATTTTTTTTAGAGACAGGGTCTCACTCTGTTGCCCATGCTGGAGTATAGTGGCACAATCATAGCTCACAGCAACCTCAAACTCCTGGGCTCAAGCAAAACTCCTCCTGCCTCAGCCTCCTGAGTAGCTGGGACTACAGGCACATGCCACCACACCTGACTAATTTTAATTTTTATTACCTCTGGCATTTTGACCAGAAAGTTGTACCAGTGGTAGCCTGTAGCTAAAAGAAGAAGGAGAACGAGGATGTCTTGTGATGCACAGGTAGTTTATAAAGTCCTTTTCAAGTCATTTTTATAGACCTGTACTGGATGCAAGTATAAACAAAAAAATTGTATGGTAAATAACATTAGTTTCATTTTTGTAATGTTCTAAAACAGTGCTTCATAAACTTAGCTTAGTTCTTCAGAATCTCCTGGGAGCTTTGTAAGTGGACAGATTTCCAGACTCCCTAAAGATTCTGATTCTAGGTCTGTATTAGTGCCTGGGAATCTCTTTGAAATATTTTTAGCCTACTGGAAAGCACATAAACTGCCAAACACACAGCTTTAATAACTACAGTTTTAATAAATAGAGTGATCTTTTGAAAATGTACACCTGATTGTGTCATCTCCCTACTTAAAATCCTTCCATGTGTTTTGATAAAAACTAAATTCTTATAGTGGCCCACAAAAACTGGCACAGTTTTAAACACTCCTTCCCTGTAGCAGCCATACTTATAGCTTTCAGATCTTCAAAAGTGTCCTGTGTCCTCATTACTCAAGTTGTTCCCTTTGTCTTTTATCCACCCACCCCCAACACAGTGTATTTTTAGACACTGTCTAGTACATATGAAATCCTCAAATACTTGTGGAATGAATGGATATCTGGGTGAAAGGGAAGAGTCAAGGATGAATACTGGTAATAGTAAATTGATTGGGGTAGAGGTTGGAGATTCAAAGGATTAAGGGAGTTCCCATGTATTGAACTCTTTTTACCCTGAAGAAGAGATGAGGTTTTTGATTTGTTAAAAGTGAAGGTAGGAGAAGATAACTTGAAAAAGCAATATATATTTGAAATAGGTGCTGTGAAAGATGGAAGATGGCTTACAGGGGACCCAGTCATAAATAGTCATTTGACAAATAGTTACCTAGTGCCTGCTCTTCTGGGCACATGAACTTGCTGAGCACCATGGAAGGCAGGTGCAATGGGAAATCATGAAATTGTAGCGATGACAATCCACAAAGTAGTGATTTCTTCTTCTAGCAGTACTCACCTGTGAGGACAGTTGAGCCAGAGAAAACACTTGGAATGGTAATGGGCTGGAGTTCTATGGAATAGAGATGATAGATGAACATGAGATCAAGGGAGCTGAGATTCTGGGTAAAAGAGGATCTGTGATCCAGGCCAGATAGAGGGGCAAATATAGAGGAGAAAGCTATTAGAATGAAAAAATATGGCCAGGCGCGGTGGCTCACGCATGTAATCCTAGCACTCTGGGAGGCTGATGAAGGTGGATCGCTCAAGGTCAGGAGTTCGAAACCAGCCTGAGCAAGACCCCATCTCTACTAAAAATAGAAAGAAACTAATTGACCAACTAAAAATATATACAAAAAATTAGCTGGGCATGCTGGTGCATGCCTGCAGTCCCAGCTACTTGGGAGGCTGAGGCGGTAGGATCGCTTGAGCCCAGGAGATTGAGGTTGCTGTGAGCTAGGCTGACACCATGGCACTCACTCTAGTCTGGGCAACAAAGCGAGACTCTGTCTCAAAAAAAAAAAAAAAAAAAAAAAGGTGGGCTGGGCTTTAGGTGATCCAGAATTTTACAGCCTTACAGAGGGATCCATTCTCTAATTCTCTTGCCACTGTCCTGCATGTATTGGCTTAACTGCAAGAGAGTAAGCTACTTTTGACCACAGGAATCAATTCCTGGACTTCACTTTGTACCAACTTAGAAATATGCCCATCTACCCTTCAACTAATCGCTACGGCTGGGAAATACCATGTCCTGATGGACTTAGGCATTGGTTGTTGCCTACCCCTATAAGCAAGGAGGATGGTGTTACTCTGATTCACTTAGGGCACTTAGAGTGTATCCCTTAGGGGTTGGGGTCACTCGAAATGGGAAGAAGTGGAAAGAACGCTGGGAGGAAAACAATGATGCCCACAATGAGGAACTATGATGCTAGCTGTTGACTCTACAATATACACTGAAGACAACAGGATGATAGCAGGATTTA